CCACCACCACCCGGCTCTTTTTTTTTTTTTAATAACAAATACAGAAGAATTCCAAGGGCTGGTAGATTCTTCAATGTGTTGAGCATTTAACTGCTCTTGAGCCAGCTGTTCTAAAATTTGTAGCTTCTCTTTTGTCAAAGGTGATTGTCCAACCCAGACAGGTTTATTAGTTAGTCATTTTAAAAGTAAGGCTGTTGGTACTTCTGAGAATTCAATGGCATTTGTGCTCTGTTTATGTACAGCCTGAATGGTCGGTGACTTTTTTATAGCGTGTTATGATATTATTCCTAGAAACATGCATTCGTCTGTATTACTTTTCTGGGAGTGTAGGAATTTTAATCTGGGTATTCCATTATCGTAACAGATCTCCATCCCAAGACTCACTGCTACATTTGCTACATATGGCTTCAACCTTTCTCTCTGTCCTTCTGGCCCTATGCATTCAACCCATCTCAAACTCTGTTTGAGCTGAAATATGGTTCTAATCCCTAGAAATTGGACATCTACCTCTTGAAGAGACCAATTCGGATGACATGATTTTGGTGTAATTATAGTCACATCCACACCCATATCTACCAGGCCCTTCAGAACAATGCCGCTAATTCAAATTCTAAGCTTTGGTCTCTGTTCATTTATGGAAGTCTGCCAAAACATTCATCCTATTGTGTTCTTTGGAATTTGATTCATCTATCAGAGCTGTTCTATTATCCGATTGCAGTATCGTTCTTCACATTAGGCATTGGTTTATTTAATTTTCCTAGAGAGGAATTTCCTCCACAGTGGATGGGAATGTTTGGACCACATTTGATTTGGGAGCCTGCAAGAGCCCCCTGAGGCATTTCCTGTTGGTAAAAGATTGCCTTGTATATCTATTTTTGATCTGCACTCATTGGTCCAATGTCGGCCTTTGCCACATCTTCTACATAATCTAGAAGGTTGGAATCTCCTGTTTGGGTTATTTCTAGGAGCACCCCATGTATAGTTTTTACTTATATGACCTGGTGTACCACATTTAAACCATTTGGTGCCACAGGGCCTTCTTTCACCCCCGAGAATTGCCTCTCCTATCCAAGCCTCATTGCTATAGTTAAGAGACACAACACCATTAGTATACTGAATCCATTCTTCCAAAGAAGCTGATCTAACCTTTAATGGTGTAAGTATTCTTTTGCCTTCTGTATTAGCATTGTCAAACACCAAGGACTCAGTTAATACTTGTCTTAATTCTTTATCTGACACAGCTTTCATTATAGCTGTGGTCAGCCTTTATAAAAAAAAATCAGTGAAAGGTTCTCACAGTTCCTGAAATATCTTTGTGTATTCTTCAGTTGGTTTTCCTGGTTCTGGAATTTTTTCCCAAGTATTTAGAGCTGCTGTATGGCATAGGGTTATTGTGTGCTCATCATAAGTAGCTTGTACATTCCTATCAGTGAAACATCCCTCACCAAGAATTTGATCTTGGGAGAACTCAAAACCTCTAAGTTTACCTTGTTGCTCTAAATTTCTTGTCTCTTTTCTCAAGCAGCTTTTACATTATAACTGCTGACTACATTCTAGAAAAAAATTAACTGATGCCAGTTATGTGGGATGATTCTATATGAGGTAGACCATGAATTTAACATCTGTCTTACATATATTGAATGTATTCCATATATGACTATTGCTTCCTTCATATTTTTAAAAATCCCTCATTGAAATCGGTTGTAATATAAATTTCACATATGGCTCAGGGTGTCTATCATCTGCTGACCTCTCATGGATGATGACAGGATAAGCCATTGTATGAGAGCCATCTGGAGGTGTTACAACCTGTATGGTCTTGCCCTTCTGCTTATTTGGTCCCTTGTCATGGTTACTGAGAGTTTCTTTCAAGGCTTACAAATGAGCACCTAGGGTCTGTTCTAGGGAGTGAAC